CGTCATTATTTAGTTGTAAAAAATATTAGCCCTGATCTTCATGGGCCATTAATAGTAGTTATTAAAACAGTCAATAAAATAAAATCTTACAGCAAATATAACAGACTTTTTCGATTTTTTATTATTATTTATACCGAAGAACACCATATGAGATTTATTATCCATAGGGAAGTCCGTTGGCTTTTCGAAACTGCCTGGCCAGATTTGTAAACCTATTTGGTACAATAGTTAATTTCTTGGAAAATGTTGGTGAGAAAATTTTGGTAGAGGAAATCCGGCATCAAAAATGTGACATTTACTTTTTAGCATGGATTTTTCGAAAGTTCAATGAAGTTTCACTCCAGATTCAACATTGCAAACGTGTTCTGAAAGTGTTTTCTGAATAATTAGACTTATTTCGAGTTAATATGCAGAAGAAGAATTTCAATAACATGTCCGAGTTAACAGAAGTAAGGGAACATCTCTGAGAACAAACTAGTAAAGGGTATGCAGAATATTTAGTGAAATTGAAAGGAAAACTAAGTAGCTTTTTTTATTTTTTTGAGAGGTCATCCGTGGATGATGGATCTATTTGGTTGTGACATAGAAGCTGTCAGTAAAAATACGCAAGAAGAACTTATTGAATTGAAGCGCAATGATGAATGCAAGTACAAATTTGAAAGCGGCGAAATAACAGAATTATGGCGGTCAAATACATCGAAACTGTTGAATTCGAACATGTGGTCTGAAATGGCTAAAATACTACTATGCTTTCCAATCTCTTATTTGGCTAAATGTGGAATCAGTGCAATCAACAAAATCTTGACCAAAAAAAGAAATAGAATTTATATATGTGTGGCGGACTTCACCACATTAATTTAACTTAGATTAGGAAACCAAACTGATGTGAAGAAAAAGAGGATAAACCAAAGACATCATTACACATAAAATTTGTATTTAACTAGATGTACAAACAAGGATTTAAAAGAAAGACATGCATTGAGTAAAACAAGAGTTGTCTCTCTTTAACTGTTAATTGTTCCAAAGTTCACTGAAAGAAATAAGGTTGCAATAGTTTCTGGTAATAAATATTTGGGGAGACTCACGAAAAGCTTCTGGGATCCGATTCTCCCAAAAGTGCACGAAATCAACTACATGAAAATATAGCGATTATAAAATTGTCGCATTACACAGTAGTGTTGATTTACTATCCAATGAATGCTTGTTGTTGCATAATTTGAATTTGCATAAGTATGTATGTGTGATGCTGATCGTCACAAATGTATTAAGTATAGTTTTTTTTTTTTTTGTCCAGTCTGAAATAAAATAATGGGTTTTATCAAATTATGGAAGTACAAAATGTCGAAAAAAATTAATTTTTCAGTTTTATTGAATTAATTTTGGTAAGATTCGGGGCGAATTTTCTATATGTTCACACTTATTTGCATTTTTTTTTTTTTTTTTTTTGCTGAAATAACATCTTCAGGAATATTTCTTTATATAACTGTTAAAAAAAAATTAATGAATCCTGCCCCTCCAAATTAAAAAGTACACAGAAAAATTAAACAACCTCCGCTAAATATTTCTCCAAAGTCTTTTCCCCAAAATAACATATTCAGTAAAAAATAAAATAAAATCATTCATTAATGAATAAGTACTGAAAATTCAGTGTGAATCGAATAATTATCTGATTTTTCGTAAATATTTGAAAATAGGGAGTAGCGATATTTTGCTTTCATTTCGGAAAAAAAGCATCCATTTTTGTGCTAACAAAACGGCAACATTTACTAAATGTTGTTTTGTTATTTCTCTTACACCCTTTTCTGCCACCAACCATTTACACAAGCTCGTTGGGTAGATTATGGGTTATTTTCCTCTGTCCCTCTTGCCTTCAATATGTCCTGTAAGCGTCAAATTTCCCAAGCCTAACATCCCTCTACAAATTTCAACTCTCTCTTTCTGATGTTAAGTATGTGTCGTTTTTTTGTTTTCATTTTCTCTAAAAGTTCGTTGTTGCTCGCATATTCAGTCCATCGAATTCTCGGCATCCTTCTGTAGAAGCACATTTTTGTTGCTTCAAGCTTCTTCTTCATCTGTTAGGAGATTGTCATACTGTAGCGTATGTACCAAATATAGCGTCGGGTCGATTCACTAAATGTAGCAGGAACACCAAATATATAGGTACTACTACTATTTATATTAATGATTCTTCCACGTACAGGATTCAAGAAATAACAACAACTCCAATTTGTTGACCAACAAATATATATTGAATAAAATACAACAAGCATGAAATAAAATTGTGTTCACAATGTAGATTAAAGAGAAGGGAGTTCTTTCCCTTTGACTGTAGATTGATTGTAATCAACCGTTTGAAGAAAGTTCTCTTGTGAGATAAATGTTCCGAAATAATTGTTAGAGCAAAGTTTGCATGTGAAGAATGAATAACACCAAGAATACAACTGCTTGAAATGTGTTGTGAATAAACTGGTTTGAATCAACAAAGTTCTGGTTGATTGTGCTTGGCGAAAGTTACAGAGAGAAAATGTAAATTTATAGTTACGAAATTCTGTTTCTATGTGTGCGTTAGAGTGTGATGAGCAAGATCGTGGATTTGTGTTGATGGTTGAGATCTTGCTGGATCTTACTGGCGAAAAGTCGACCTATTTAAGAAAAAGAGGTAGGCTCCCACGGAACCGCGGGAAAACTTGATCTTACATTAAAAATATGTGATTGGTTAAAAATTAACCAATCACTACACACGTACTAAACAGAATAGGTAAGTATGCTCAGAACCAAAAGATTCAAAGGAACGACTGCAATGGCTAAATTGTCCTATACAAAGGTAGTAGTAATTTATTAGCCAATCGTAGGTGAATAAAATGACTTGGAGTGTATGTGGGTGTGAAAAACATAGCAACCGCTATAATACATTCACTGCCAAATGGTTAAGTGTTTTTTTTTTTTTTTTTTTTTTTTTTCAGAAAACGTGCATAAAGAATTGCGCCAAAGTTGATCCGATTTTTCTCGAACTTTCCTTGACGGGAAATTGCATCGTTTCCTATATACTTTTCATTTTCTATTAAAATTAGGTACAACCACGGACTTTGTGAAAAAGAAAAAAACGAAAAACGCATTTTGAATAATGTAAATGCCTTCTTTGAACCTAAATTTCGGTTCTAATTTGACAGATAATTATTTAATCTGAATTAAAAGAAAAATCAATTTCCGTATATAAATAAACTTTTTAGGCATTTTAAAGTATTGGTACTGTTTTTCGTCACTCATCGAGTCGCTATTGTATACGACAAATAAACAACAAATTTTAAAAATAGATATGTGTTTCGAAGTCTGTTAGTAAATTTAAGTCTTACTCTTAATTAACTGGATTTTCTAAAAGTAATGCATACCTTTTACTTAAAACAGAATGAAAATAACATTTTATTTACGCACAATAGGCTGTGAGGTTAGAGGACATTAAAAATTCCATAATTCTACCACTGTCCGAAAAAGTGCGGGTAAAAGTAAAAATAAAACCTAAAGAAATACGGAAGACCAACAGTACAATAAACAAAAATTTGTTATTTATATTTAAAACTAATTTTTCTTTAACCTTAGTTTAAGAAAATACATTTTTATTTTATTTATGCGTTTTTAAAACTAATTAAACTAACTATAATTAATAAGCTTGCCTTGAAGGCATTTAAGGAGCTACCTAAACAAAAATATTGTGCAAATGTGGTTTGTGTTAAATTAAAAGGAAAAACATTTTAACAAGAGTAAATTTTTAGAAAGATTACAACATAAAGTATTCTTTTATATACGAATTTAAATAGTTTCGTTGTATTTCTGAAAGGAAACAAATTATGCATAGAAAATAAGTAAAAGATTTGTTTTTAAAAATAAGTCGCGTTTAATTACTGAAGTAAATATTGGCTCTTCTTGCATAGAATTTGTAAATAAATACAGGAAAACAGAGACACACGAAAAAAAAAAAAAACACTCGTATCGATAGATCGAAAACTGCTTTCAAGAGACCAAAACCGACTGAACGGGAGATGTGAAATTTAGTAATACTCTTCTCAGCTGATTTTGAAAGACAGTAGCCAGTTAAAGCGAGATATCAGAATTGTGTCCTTTTTATACATCCATACCAAAAATAATTCCGAAACAGTTGCTAAAAGGAAAAGTAAAGGCAAAAAAGAACCCTCATTTTGTACAGTATACTATATACGTTGAATAAATCCGGTGAAAAGACACATCCTCCCCTTGTTTCAAACCCCCTTCTATATTTTTTATATTGAAAAATGAATTAATATTCTATCCGTATGCAGGCGATTTCCTGCCAGTAGGTTCTGGATTATTCTAATACCCTTCCCAAATATGTCAAGGCTACCTAGAAGTTCCAACAGATCTTTGTAACCTACTTTATTAAAGACTTTTGCATAACATCCTTCTGCATACAAAAATAAATATAGTATTTTGAGCAAATTTACAAAGGGTAAAAATATTGTGAAGCACCGTAGAGATAGCTCCCATCATGCACCGGGAACAGTGCGCATGTCACCATTTGTACGCCATGTTGGTTACCAAATTCAAATATTGTTTGACGCCACACCCGAATAGGACTGTTGTTGGTCAGCTTACTAAGAACTTCTAACTTAATTTTTATAAGGATTATGCATAGCGAAATATTCATTATATTTCTGTTTTGAGTGAAACTCCGTATTTATATAGTTACGGTTTAAGTAGCCGCATACCATAAAAACCTGCCCTGTATCCAAGCGATACTTCTTTTTCTGGAGTTGTAGTGGTGTATTTTAAAGTAGTGGCGGGGTTTGTCTGTCACAAACAACAGAACGTACACTAAACAACATAAAAAAGTAAATTTCCCAGCTATTATGACAATTCTCTTATATTTTAGCAGTAGTTACTGTTCAACTACTGCTTTTATTACTCGTTGCTAAAAAACAAAACAAAAATACATTTATTGTTCCCATTCGTTAAAAATATAAACCATCATGTCATCTTACATTTATCAACTTCTTACGGATTTTATAGTTTTCAAATTAGTCGACTCATTTGCGAAGTCTGCTATATATGATGCCACGTAAGTATAAAAAAATATTCTTCCGAATAACTTTTGGCCAAAAAATATCTTGTCAAAAAAAAAAAAAATCAATAGCGTGTTCCTATTCCTCTCTAGTGGTCTTTTAATGTATTCTATATAAACCTTAGCATGGTTTTTAATGTTATTTCAGCTCAAAATGTCTTAAGACGCGTGTTTCTTTTAAAATAAAACATTTTTTTGCGAAAAATTTGTCCATGACGTTTGAAACAAAAAGGTCTTTAAAGTTTAAAATTGCGAAAACCCGAAAAGTAATTTTTTTTTCTTTTAATTGAAGAAATCCAAGTTTTTCTTGAGTACTTAAAATTTGCCAGTTGAAAAATAATCAAAATCTTAAAAAATTTTCACTTTTAACTTTAAGCCATAAGTTTTTCTCTTACCCACGCACTTTTGTTCTTGGTCGTTTCTCTACACGAGGGTCATTATGACACGATTTTTCTTGCGGACTGAAACTGGGGACCTTAAATTGTTTGTCTTGGTCATTTTTTTTTATTGTTATTATTCTAAAAAAAAATCGACATTGTTTAAAATAATGTTTATCCAACTTTTTAATTTAAATAGTTTAGGATTTTCTTATGGTATTCGATACTTAATATTTTCGTTAACTTTTGCTTTTCTTTTTTGTTAGTGTAGTAATCGATATTTACTACGCCGAGCTTAAAACTCTTCAGAGATTCAGTGTGTAGGGAAAATTGGCACAATACAGTCTTCTAATGCCCTGTCGCACACAAAGTACCAAACATGGTTATTTTCATCTTCAACATCTTGAATAATTAATAATAAACTTTCGTAAACGACAATTACATCCATTTTTGTGTGTTTTTACCAAAAAAAAAACGGGCAAACCCAAACGTTACTAGTTTTTTTTTTAAAACTGTTTCACGATATTTATCGGATTCTGAAGTGTTTTTTCACTTCTGCATTCGTGGGATTTTTTATGTAACTTGCTGATTTTTTTTTTTTTTTAATCGGGTAACTTAAAATTAAGATTTGATTGCTCGTAAAAGCTGGTTTGTTCGGAAACTATTGAAGGCGGCTGAAAATTACTCATTCAACGACATAAATATTTAATTTTGATTCTTAGCCACGAATGTTTTTCTATCTTTTTGTTCTACACTTCACGCACGTTTGACGTAAAGCAATATTAATCTCCCTTAGATACTTTTCTGGTATTTTGCACTAGTTTCTAGCAATATTTTTTTTTTTTAATAGCCTTTTGCCCTTTTCTGTCACTAAACGAACTTTTTTGTCTTGTATGTTCGTAATTTCTATCGAGTTAAATCTGCTATAAAAATAAAAAGCTTTCTCCGCATCTTTTTCATTTTTTTTGTACCTAATTCACCTTAGCTGGTGCTCTTGATGCCAATTTTGTATTACTTTTTTTTATGTAATGAAGCTTCTTAATTTATATTTGTGGGGAAAGTGAGTAGTACGATTTTGGAGGCTATTTTGTTGCCCGTTTTATCTAATTTCGTACGTTCCTCTTCTAAAAGTTGTATTCCCAGTGTGTCCGATCATCAGCTATCCGTTCGCGTCTTTAAATACCTGAAAAGATTTTTAAGTGTCTCCACGGCTTCTTAAAGCCATAACCTTTTTCAATTATTCAAATATTTTGCTTGAAGTTGTAATTTTAGAATGTTAACTTTGAAAAATTCAAAAATTGCATAAAGTTATTTTGTCAAAACACAAGTCTTTACAAATGAATATACCGAAAATTATTGAAATCAATTATTTGATTAGTAATTTTTTTTAATCGGGATGTTTTATCAACTAAATTTCTTATAAATTGTCACTTTGCTTCTTTTTTTTTTTATCTGTTAACTAGATGCAGTAATTATATCAATTTTTGTATATTTTGTAATTATCACGAGTTCATAATTTTTTTTTCTTTAAATTATGCGTGCGTGGATATATTTTTTTTAAATGAAACATTTCACTGATGAGGAGTCAAATATCAAATTACTAAGTTACTATTTTTTAACTTTTAAAACTTTAGCTGAGCATCCTTCAATGCTCGGAATTTACTATATTTTCATTCCAGATCGGCATTTAGCAGCACCGGAAACTTTTCCTTAACAGAATACATATGAAAAAAGTAAAGTGAAAACTTTTAATTTTAATTTTATATAAATGAAATAAAATAAAAAATAAAGTGTTATAGATTGTTTGGTAGTAATTGAGTAGCAAGCGTTAAAAAATGTTATTAAACTTTAAATTTCGAACTTTTTCTATTTAACTTTATTTTAGCTACTTTTTTAATCTAAAAAGGTTATGAATTGTTTTTTTTTCTTTAAAGGTCTAAATAAAAATAATCTTATTTAAACTTGCGGTTTATGTGGTGATAAGTTAATTTTTAAAAAGGAACTATCACGGACTTTCGAAAAACATTTTAAAAATTATTTAAAATGTTTTTGATTTTGAAGTTTTTCTTGTTTTTGATTTTGAAAGATAGCCTCTAAAAATGTTAATCTTTATGGAAAAATTGTATGTAAATAAACTTTTACTACACATTTTTAAAAGATTTGCACGTTCGCTCGTCGAACTGCCATTAGACGAAAAATAAAAATGTAAACAAATTTTAAAAATCCAACACTTGCCATAGAGAAGTTTCAAAGTAAACTTAAGGATTCATTATTTTGTAATGCGCATACTTTAAATTAAAACAAAATAACGTTTATTTACACACGGAGACAGCGGTCATCAAGGTCATAAGTAAATAGTAGTTCTCGATCATCCCTGACACTTTTAAAGCGCGCCAAAAATTTAAAAAAAAAAAAAAAAAAAAATTCTTTAACCGTACTTACAAAAATTCGCTGAAAAAGAGGATGCATGATGATTTTAAAAAAAAAAAACTAAAACAATTTAATCTTCAAAAGTCAAACAAAACCTTATTAAAGAGATCAAAGTTTTTGTTTTTTATGCGTGAAAAATAGTCTTTTTATAATCTTGATTGAAGAAAAAAAAATTCTGGCATTGTGGGACCATTTCTTGCAAAAATTAGATAATTGTTAGAAATGAATGAATTTATTGAAATGTTTTGTGTGTGTGTCCCCACTATGAAATTTCATGGAACATGTTTTAGTTATAAGGACAAAAACCCATAGAGAATTTTTTTTTTTTTTTTTTTTTTTTTGTCAAACAGGATTGCCAGTTACTACTCGGAATCATAAAATAAAAAATGCAATAACACTAAGACAATAGTTAAAGCTTTTTAATTGCTTGCTAAAATAAATGGTCACTATTAGAAAAGATTTTAGATGAATAATGAATTTTTACAAGATTTTTTTTTTAAGTTATAAAACTCTTAGATCTTAAAATTCTGTATTTATTTGTATTATTAGTCAAGTGATATTGTTATTAAATTAAAACTAAATGATTTACTAATCTAATCATAATCAAAAAGCTCACTACAGTTTAACAAACTCGCAGTATTTTAAAAATTTAACTTATGTATATAAACATGTCAATTCTTGTAAAAATGGGTATTATACACTAATACACATTATCAGAAAAGTGGTAACTTTAGGAAATTTTATTGGGTATTTTCTGACATTTCTTCTACAACCAGTTGTTTCATGAGTAAAAAGCCAAAGTACCTAACATTCAAATATATATTAGAATGATTAAAATATTTTAAATTTAAGATTACTGCATGGTTAGAAAGAAAAGGCATTTGTCGTAATGTAATTTTTCTAGTTATTGTCAATTAGATAAATTTTCCAAAATCGAGGTGTCAATATATCATTCAACACCTCATAAAAACACCATTCCATGTTAAAAAATATGCTTTTCTGCAATAAATTGTAAGTAATATTTCAATTCAAATTAATTAAACTTTAAATTGGCTACTTTTTCTCGGAAGAGTATATTTTTTAAAAAAAATTTTTAATTGAGAAAGTTGTGTGGACAAATTTGTGAATATTGACAATTTTGTAAATTTTACTGATCAGAAAATTCCAATCAATGTAAATTTTATTTGAAATACAGCAAAGTATTTTGCTTATTGGAAGTATTAAATTTAATCTATTAAAACTAAAATAAAATAAAACTTCAAGATTTTTCATTTTTATAAATGCATTTTAAACTTTAGGTATTGATGAGGTAATTATCCCTTATATAACCAGTACTTTATTAAAACTTAACATGAATTTTATGTTTTAGCAGAAAAAAAAATTGGTAGTGGTACGGGGTATTGATAGTGTTAATTTCACTTTGCTCTCTTCCAAATTTAATTGCTGTAAACTAAACAACTATATGCACACCTGAAACCTCAAGCAAACTCTTTTTTTTTTTTTTTTTTTTTTTAACATGAAAACATGTTAAAAAAAAAAAAAAAAAAAAATACAGTATTTAAAAATTTTGAAAAGGTTCATACGTGAAAAATGGCATCAAGCTTTTTTTTAACACTAGCAGTAGAGCCCGGGGATGTAACAGTAAGAGATAGATCAAGTATCGACCATCATAAAGACTGAAAAATTAAATTGACAAAGATTATTGTTTAAGGTTGACGGACATGCATGTCTTAGTTGTTTTTTTTTTTTTTTTTTTTTTTTTTGAATTGGTCAAACCCAAATTCAAACAAAAACATTGTTTACAATCGTTATGAGTCTATCGATTGGTGAATAGAATTTTATTATAAACAATTGTCTTGTAAATGGAATTTTAAAGCATTCTGAATGTAAATAAAGAAAAAGTGTGCAAGACAATAAGAAATACTACCTGCCGAAAAAAAAGTGGATGTTTGTTTTATCGGCTGAAAAATGTAAGAAATCCGATCCCATATATAAAGGAACACACACACACACACAAAACCTGGGTCTTTTAACCTAAGTCACTCCACGGAATCGCTAAAACATAGAGCATAGTCTGATGAAAAAGACGCCAAAGTATGAAAACAAAATTTTATCGTCAAAATGCTTATTTTTTTTATGAAGAGGATAGACTATTTTTTTTTTAAATATTTTCCATCTTTTTAGAATATT